TGTTGAAGGGCGCCGCTCGTTTGGCGAACTCCAGGTACAGCTGGTCGATGGTTTCCAGAAGCTTCTCAGTTCTCTGCGGAGCAAAAACAAACTAGATTACACACACACGCTTCTTTCTTAAAAGGAGCTTCAAAGTCTTGTTGGGTTAAACTCAAAAAGCTTCTATTGAGTCATGATCCTACAGAGAGCTGAGGGTATCAACATGGATTTAAGGGTTCATATACTGGATTTTCACAGATTAAAAACCTCAAATCTTGAATCTTAAAAGGATGTTTAAGGCCAGTGGGAATCCTGAAAATCAAATCTGTTCACGGCCTATCGCTGTGAGGAATACTTTCATCTCTAAGTGTGTCTTTCTTCCTGCACCAAGGAGGGTAAACAGATATGAATGCTGCTGCTGATTTCACTTTCACAACGTGTTATTTGAATGTTTGTCTACATATGAAAATGCTGTTGATGTATTGTGATTTTAAAAAGGTGTCTATTAACATCTGGCCGGGGACAACAGCTGGAAATTCGCAATGTTGGCTAAAGCTGCCCCATTTACTGTTTTTTGTGACAGTTGATCAATGGGGACTGTTTTGCTGAACGATGTAAGTCTCCCCGCTGTGGGACGAATAAATGATTTCTGACACGGAAAAAGTGATTTTAAGGATTTAGAGACTCTTCAGTTCCTGGTGGATTTAGTATTCTCCTCCTCACCTGCAGAGCATCGCTGCGTTTATGGGTCAGAGCTCCCAGAGCGTCCCATTGGTCGCAGATATTCTGACAGCGAGCGTTCACACTGGGGGAGTCGTAGTAGTCCAGCTCACTGCAAACACACCATTCATTACAGCATCATCATTACCTAAAATTCTAATATAAAATAAAATAAAATAAATAAATAAAATAAAATAAAATAAGAAATAAATACAATTATTAAATAAAATAAAAAATATACATATAAAAATAATATATAAATAAATATATTTTTATTTTCATTATATATATGGATAAATAATAAAATTGTTATATTAAAATAGTTGGCAATTTGATAGACAAATTGTTGCAGACTTCGAAAAATGGACTCAACATGCCTCTCTCATCCTATCCTACTGTATTTCATATGTTATTGATCAGTGGAAGGAAACATTTCATCCTCTTCCCTCCTGTCCTGGTGTCTCACTTTAACTCCTGTGCGATGGCGGCAATCTGCTCCACTCGGTCCTGATGGGCGGCGAGGTCGCTCTCGAACGCCTCGTGTTTCTTCAGCAGAGCTTTGATCTCCGACAGAGAGGCCGTCTCGTAGTCGTGCTTCTGCAGCATGGCCTCCTTACCTGCAGGGGGCGACACAACACACATCTCAGATACGTCTACACCAGTGTTTCTCAAACTTTTTCATACCACTTAACCAATAAAAAAACACTCGCGGACCACCTAACTCCACAAATATCCAAAAACACATCGTTTTTTACAAATCGCCTGAAAATGGTACAAACAAGTGGCAACATGTGTGATGAAGGTATTTATCTGGGCTATATCATGCAATTGAAAGTGAAACTTAAGCTCGTTCCATTGCGGAGATATTCCCGCGAGAGTGCGAAAAACTTAAATACATTTATTTATTTCAAATGTGAAATTTTACCAATATACTCACGGACCACTAGGGGGCGCTCACGGACCACACTTTGAGAAGCACTGGTCTACACTCACATTTCCCTGTTAAGAGAGCTTTTTGAGGCCATAGATTCAAAGATTGTTGGTTATTTTGCTTCCATAACATGTCTTCTTTCAGACTATTGAAAAAAAATCCACATCCAGGAGTTTATTTGACTAACTTTGTGTGTTTGTGTCTGTGGATTTCTCCAAAATTCACAAAAAGTAAGCACTACATGACGCCTCATTTGCAAATTGAATCAGAAAACTTCAGAAAACTTGTAATATATGTGACATTATTACGATTTTTTTCCGAAACATTGCAAAATATTTTTTTAAATAAAACTGGAAATCAACTTAACTCAGATTTTAGACATTTTCTCAGAAATATTCGACTTGACTTCACTTGCATTTTTTCCCTTAAAAATATAATGACTTTTTCCTCCAAATATTACAGCATTTTTCTAATCATTTTTCAAATTTTATTAATTTTCTTTTAAAAAATATTTATAACTTTAATTATCTAAATATTACAACTTTTTGTCGGATTATTACGACTTTTTTCCTCAAATATTTTAGACTTTGCTCCAATTCCTCAGCAGAAATCTCTCACACACACCAAGCTGTCCACTCTCATTCCTCTCCATATTCTGAAGCTTTGTACACACCAGTCACAAAGTCATTCATACACACTTTATCACTGAAAACATGCAGAAAATGACTTTTTAAATCTCTATAAATCAACAAAATAAATATAATAATCTCTCTTTAAATCCCTCCCTACCTTCAGTCCAGGCTTCGTGGATCGTTGCTTTCTGACGGAACTTCTCGGCCAGATGGTCGAGTCTCTCCAGTCGGCGGATCTCGTTGAGGAGCCACTCCTCGTACCCTTTCTCCGCTCCCTCCAGACCCCCCCACGCATTGTTGATGTCCTGAACGAGGAGAAAGAAACCAATACCTGAGAATGTATCCTTACCAAAAACAGAGAGGGAGAAACTGGCATTGTCAGGACTGATATAGTGCATCACTAAAGTTAAACGTGCAACATTAACATGTATTTGGAGTTGTGTTAAACGTGTGCAAGTCCAATAATAATTCTTCTTCCTGAAAAATGCTTGTAAGAGTCTGAGGAATCAGAGGAAAAGTGTTGCGCTGTGAAACAAAAATATCTGTTATTTTGCGTACAATACATTTTTGTAAATGGCAAGTTTCTAAGACAAAAAGACAGCTAGCCTAAGACTACTGATTTTATGTATGCAACAGGCAGCATTGTGTGTGTGTGTGTGAGATAATGCAATCCGTTCACTTTTTGAATATAAGAACTCAACATTCTTAACTAAGTATCTTCTTGTCGTAAACAAAATTGAAAACAAATGTTTTATTCAAATTACCCTAGAAAGTATATATAATTTCAGTCGTTGGTTATCATAGTTTTGGAGTTGCACTGCACACATTATACACAAAACACATTCTTAAATTAAAGTTTGGTGCAGAAAAATAATTATATAATATCACTTACTAAATAACGAAGTTTTAGAGTGTCACTGCACACACTACTAACATAACAAGGACAGGAGAGAGAGAGAGAGAGAGAGAGAGAGAGAGAGAGAGAGAGAGAGAGATTTATTTAATTACATTTTTAAACAGAGCAGTTCAAAACCAAATGTCCTCTGGGACAAATAAAGTGTTCTGATTCTGATGATAGGTAGGTAGGTAGGTAGGTAGGTAGGTAGGTAGGTAGGTAGGTAGGTAGGTAGGTAGGTCGGTCGGTCGGTAGGTCGGTCGGTAGGTCGGTCGGTCGGTCGGTCGGTCGGTCGGTCGGTCGGTCGGTCGGTCGGTCGGTCGGTCGGTCGGTCGGTCGGTCGGTCGGTCGGTCGGTCGGTCGGTCGGTCGGTCGGTCGGTCGGTCGGTCGGTCGGTCGGTCCGCGCGCGAGCGAGCGCGCGCGCGCGAGCGCGGTGGCTCGCTGCTCGCTCGCTCGTTTCTCGTTTCGCTCGCTGGGTCGCTCGCTGGCTCGCTCGCTCGCTCGCTCGCTCGCTCGCTCCTCGCTCGCTCGCTCGCTCGCTCGCTGCGCTCGCTAGCTCGCTCGCCGCTCGCTCGCTCGTCGCTCGCTAGCTGCTCGCTCGCTCTCGCTCGCTCGCTCGCTCTCTGGCTGCTGCTTGCCTGGCTGGCTGGCTGGCTGGCTGGCTGGATTGCTGGCTGGCTGGCTGGCTGCTGCTGGCTGCTGCTGGCTGGCTGGCTGGCTGGCTGGCTGGCTGGCTGGCTGGCTGGCTGGCTGGCTGGCTGGCTGCTGGCTGGCTGGCTGCTCGCTCGCTCGCTCGCTCGCTCGCTCGCTCGCTCGCTCGCTCGCTCGCTCGCTCGCTCTGCTCGCTCGCCGCTCGCTCGCTCGCTCGCTCTCCGCTCGCTCGCTGGCTCGCTGCGCTGCTGGCTGGCTGGCTCGCTCGTCGCTCGCTCGCTCGCTCTCTCGCTCGCTCGCTCGCTCGCTCGCTCGCTCGCTCGCTCGCTCGCTCGTTCGCTCGCTCGCTCGCTCGCTCGCTGGCGCGCTCGCTGGCTCGCTTGCTTGCTGGCTCGGTGCTCGCTCGCTGGTTCGCTCGCTCGCTGGGTCGCTCGCTAGATAGATGGATAGGTAGATAGATAGATGGTAGATAGATAGTTAGATAGATAGATAGATGGAGAGATTGATTGATAGATAGAGATTGATTGATAGATAGATAGATAGATAGATAGATAGATAGATAGATAGATAGATAGATAGATAGATAGATAGATAGATAGATAGATAGATAGATAGATAGATAGATCGATGGATAGATGGTAGGATTGATTTGAATTTGATAGATGGATAGATTGATGCATTGATAGATGGCTTAGCTAGATTACTTTATTGATCCAATTTGGGGAAATGTTTGTGGTTGCAGCAGCATAAAAAACACAGGCAATGTGCATAAGAGAATTTAAGACACAAGAAATAAACAGTCCAAAAATATTTCGAAATATAAATAAAATAGCATTAAACCTGATTGCATTACCTCGCAACAATTTCTGCAGGACTTTCTTATTCAATGTGTGTGTGTGTGTGTGAAACGTACCGACACCATCTTCCCCTCGGAGGGCATGAAGGCAGGCCGGTTGCTGAGCCTCAGCTTGGTCTGCAGCGTGTTGAAGTTGATCTCCAGCTGGCATTTCTCCTGCACTTTGGGCGGCTTGTGAAGGCGGCGGTAATCCCTGAAGTCCTCCAGCTTCTGCTGCATGGCCGCCATGGTGTTCTCCGGCAGGCGGTTCTCCAGCCAGGGGATGGTGCGCCGGATCCACTCCAACAGCTGTGAGAGTGAGTGTGTGTGTGTGTGTGTGTGGGGGGGGGGAGAGGATGGAGGAAGTTCAATTTGAGGGGAAGAAAAAGGAGCACCATGCAGATGAGAGGGAAATAGATGAGGTGTAATGGATGTAGTTCATACAGGTGAGTTTTGTTGTTCATTTCCTTAAACTTAATGTCACCGTAATTACGTTTTCTGTCCGATTAGAAGCACCATACATGTGTTTTAGCATGTTTTAGCACATTTAGCAACATGTGTGTGTTCATTTTAAAGCTGCTGACAATTTTCCGTAGCTATAACTTTTTTAAATCATCAAAGGAAAAGCTATCTTCAAACTAGTAAAGCCTGGAAGGATTACTGGACTTTTTTAGTCTTTGGAGGAGTTTTTAAAAATCTAACTACGATATTTCAGCTGATTGTTCATGCACCAATAAGAGGAGCAAACATTTTAATACATTTTCTTAAAATGTGGTTATGAAATTATTAACTTTGAACAGATTTCTTTGCAATTATCTGCAGTATTTTCTTGTTATTTAGCAGCCGGTATTATGCATCAATACATAAAAGGAACAGTATCTGCAATAATATAATTTAATATTTAGTCATTTATCAGTAAAGCTCAAATGCAAACTATATTTTCTATTAATTTAACTACGGTACGAAAATGAAGAGAATCATTTTAAATCTTGTTTCTTCTAAAGATTTTTCATAAATAGTGAGTCTTCCTTATTGGTGCATTCAAGTACAGGGACTAATGCTGGAGTTTCAGATGTCTCAACCTTCCACAGGCCCTTAAATGCACCACCAAAAGTCCAAAAGTAACTTTAACGAGTAAGAAATTATTTGCCAGCATGTTAAGCAAAAAGCTAAATAAAATGCTTTGGGAAAGTATTTGCAGAAAATGGTTTACAGTTCGTTGTAAATGAGCTCAAAAATGCAAAAAGTATATATAATATTATAAGATATTTTTCCACTCTTACGCCTCAAACCACTGTTTCTAACCACACAGAGCACCCCCCCCCCCCCCAGGAGAGGAGGGAGTCAGGAGGAGAGAGAGGAGGTGCAGGACGAGTAAAGGCATAACAAGTGTTTTTGTGTGTGTGTGTGTGTGTGTGTGTGTGTGTCCTAGCATTACTATCCTTGTGGGGACCTACATCTGTTTACACAGTCACGTGTGGGGACTCGCCTCCCTTATGGGGACATAAGGCATGTGTTGGTTAAGGTTAGGATAAGTCTCCAGGAAATGCATGTAAGTCAATGCAATGTCCCCTGAAGTGATGTGTGTGTGTGCGTGTGTGTGTGTGTGTGTGTGTGTGTGTGTGTGGTGTGTGTGTGTGTGTGTGTGTGTGTGTGTGTGTGTATTGGGGAGGGGAGGGGGGGTGCTCACATCAGAGGCCAGCTTCTCATAGTCCTCCATCAGCTGCTCGTTCTCCTGGTTCACCGCCAGAACTTTACAGATCCTGTTTGCCGCTGTCTCCGCCTGAAGAGGAGGAGGAAGAGTAAAGGGAGTTAAAGAGGAGGACATTCAAGGAAGCTCTGTTCGAGGCTTGTTTTTTCAAAATAAAAGCATAATAGACTACCTATGTATTACTGAAGGTTATGGAGAGGCTTGATTTAAAAATAAAAAACCCAGAAAGTAACTGTATAGTTGCAGGAAGATCAGGTTTGGCCTGTTTTTCAAAATAAAACCCCAATATAAGCTCCAAAAGAGGCATGTCTTTCAAAATAAAAGCCTAAGAGAGTGATTGTTTACTTAATGGGAGCTCCGGGCAAGGCTTGTTCTTTAAATAAAAGCCCTATAAAGTAACTATATATATTCTAAGGAAGCTCTCTTAGAGGCTTGTTTTCAAAATAAAATCCGAAGAAAATAGTGCTGTACCTAAAGGAAGCTCAGGAAGAGCAATGTTTTTCAAAATAAAACCCCATAGACTAGAGGAAGCTTAGGATTCTACTTGTTTTTCAAAATAAAAGCCCCAGAGAGTAACTGGCCGTTTCTCAATCTCGAGGATACTGGCTTTCAAGCCAATATGTCAAGGATGCTACGTCGTCGAGTGCCGCCGAAGGACCGTTCCAATCTCCAGCATACTTGGAATTCCACCGAAGCCGCGTCCTTTGTTTGGGGGAAATTTCGAGGCTGCACATGGGTAGACTTCGCGTCCTTAAAATCCCCACAATGCTTTGAGCACGGACCAATTTCAAAAACCCTTGCGGAGAATGGCTGAACCGACGCAGCACACATTTAAATGTAAGTATAGTGGCGTAGAACATGTGTTGGTAAATATGTGTTCCGTGAAAGTAAAGCAAGTTCATAATTAGATAGACATCGTGAGGTATTTCTTTTCGGTACAGTTTATGTTGAAACCGTTAGAGAGAGTGGCACACTTGTTAGACTGTTCCATTCCTCTTCGTTTTCCGAAGCCGTGGCTTGGAAGCATACTTGCTTCGTTTCTGAAGGAAGTGACTTGGAAGTACGCGACTACCAAGCCAGCATCCTCGAGATTGAGAAACGGCCACAGTGTCATTAGAGGAAGCTAAGGATTAGACTTGATTTCAAAATAAAAGCCTCATATAGTACCTGTATACTTAAAAAGGAAGTTCTGTTTAAGGCTTGCTTTTTAAAATAAAAGCCCCAGAAAGCTACAATCCCCATCCTGACACAACACTTGCTCAACATTGGCCTCCCAGTCTCCATCACTGGACCGGGTGATGCATGAGTTTCCATGACAACACGTAGTCCATTACCCCGTTGGGTGTGAGATGGTGGTCAGCAGAGATCATAGAAATCAGCAGCACAGAGAAAATAAAAGAGAGATTGAAAGCATGCACAAAGCCTGGAAGATCAGCAGCAGCTCGGAGATCATTAACTGATGTGTTTATTATCAAAACCTGCTGATTCTCATCCACTTACGCATGTCTTTGACGAGATAAAATAGACTGTTATGACTAAATCCACTCTGTATTTATGACAGATGGCAAGCAGCATCTGGAAACAAATATATACTCATTGAGAGGGATTCAATTTAAAATCGACCAAATCTGGCAACCCTTAATCGACCTTTTTAATAACAATGCACTCACCCTGCCTACAAACGAGCATCGATTAAACGTGGTTCACTCGTTTGTCCACCGATATATATTTTCTCACTCTGATTCTAGTTTTTCCAGCTATAAATGTAACTTTTCATCAATATTTGAAAGTGTTAAGTTAAAATCAAAATAGATCCATGTGTGTCTGTCGTTACACCAACATGCACAATAACTGGTTTGTGGATAGGACATTTTATTTTAAAGGCGGTATTGACCGTGTCCTTTTAGATTATCTGTCACTCAAACTTGTATCCAGGCAACAGATTCAAAACACCTAAACTCCTGCAGGTATATCTCCTACAAATAAGCCACAACTGTTTAAATGCTATACATATTTTTAGGTTTTATTGCCGAGGTTTTTCCAGCCTCCTGCAGAGTGTGTGTAGGTCTCCTTTTACAGAGTGCAGAGCTTCATACACACAGCTGCTGCTGAGAGGCCTTATAAGGAGACGACGATGTGCAGTCATACTTCTGTGAGCAGACGTTTACATTTTTGGCATTTATATTTAAATACATAAAGTAAGATCAAGCTTTTTTTTCGTTTTTTATTTCCTCTTTTTAGTTAATTTTATTTATATAGTTTTTCTTGTGTTTCATCAGTTCCATTTTTTATTTTATTGCAATTTATTTTGTTTAGATCAGACCGGAGGTGGTAGAAGTACTCAGACCTGGTACTTGAGTAGAAGTAGAAGTACTCAGATCTGGTACTTGAGTAAAAGTAGAAGTACTCAGATCTTGTACTTGAGTAAAAGTAGAAGTACTCAGATCTTGTACTTGAGTAAAAGTAGAAGTACTCAGAACTTGTACTTGAGTAAAAGTAGAAGTACTCAGATCTTGTACTTGAGTAAAAGTAGAAGTACTCAGATCTTGTACTTGAGTAAAAGTAGAAGTACTCAGAACTTGTACTTGAGTAAAAGTAGAAGTACTCAGATCTGGTACTTGAGTAAAAGTAGAAGTACTCAGAACTTGTACTTGAGTAAAAGTAGAAGTACTCAGATCTGGTACTTGAGTAAAAGTAGAAGTACTCAGAACTTGTACTTGAGTAAAGTAGAAGTACTCAGATCTTGTACTTGAGTAAAAGTAGAAGTACTCAGAACTTGTACTTGAGTAAAAGTAGAAGTACTCAGATCTTGTACTCTAATAAAAGTAGAAGTACTCAGAACTTGTACTCTAGTAAAAGTAGAAGTACCAAAGTGTAGGAATACTCTGTTACAGTAAAAGTCCTGCATTCAAAATGTTCCTCAAGTAAAAGTAGGGTTAGGCTATACAAATATAGTTAGAGTACCAAAAGTAAAAGTAGTCGTTGTGCAGATTGGTCCATTTCAGAATAATATATATGATATGTTTTATAGTTATTGATCATTAAAGTGTTCTCAAAGCTGGTAAAGGTGCAGCTAGTTTGAAGGACTTTGGATAAGAATAAAAATGTATGGATTTTGCTATTTTTCAGCGTTTTAAATCAAATATAACCGACCCAAAAAATAAATATTAGTAAAAAACACTATCTTAATTCTCTGCCGCCACTTCGGCAGGTATTTGATGATTGTTCCGAGATTTGCTGATTTTATTTTTTTAATTGCTCACCTTCTGCTTGCCTGAGAAGGCGTGGTAGTAACACGACACATAAGTCATGACGGCCTTCTCATCCGGCCGCAACGTGCTAATGATGTCTGCAGGAAGAGGGGGGGAGAGAGGGGAAATGCATGAGAGTAAAAGAGTGCAGAAACAAGAGGACCAGCAGGAGGAGGAAGAGGAGGAGCACCAGCAGGAGGAAGAGGAGCACCAGCAGGAGGAAGAGGAGCACCTCAGCAACATGCATCTCCAGCCTCACTAGAAGGTCTTTGAGTGGGTATGTCTTCTTTTCAAAATATAAAAATATGTACGGCAGGAAGTAGAATAGAATGATTAAGTTAGCCATGGTAGTCTTTTATTTTGAAAGGTTAAGGGTTCTACCATCTTTTTTTAATTATTAGAAGCTCCTACAGTATTTAGGTTTTCAAAATAAAGCTTTGAATGCAATACATCCATATTTCTTACAAGACATTTTGACTTTTGGACCTTACAAACTCACTAGAAATATTAGGATACATGTGTGGGAATTTGAAAGGTAGGAAGTCGGAAATAAATCCTTACATTAACAGCCGGTGGTCCAAAAATATTATAAAAGATGTGGTCAAATATATCTTGCAAAACATGCCTGAGGAGGCAGAGACATTTCAGTCTTTTATTTTGAAAGGATTAGGGCTCTACCAACATCTTTTTTTATTCAAAGCTTCTACAGTATTAAGGTTTTCAAAATAAAGCTTTGATTGCAATGTTTTTCAAAGTCATCTTTTTGCAACAGAAATCCGAGGTTGAAACCGATCGAAAAGACTTCTTAAGTTCTTAAGCTTCAAACCTTTTGGTACAGTGTGATGAGGTATAACTTTTTAAACCTTGTATTTCTTTGTGTCCTGTAACTCAACTTAATTGATTTAAGAGTCAGCCTTGTGACCTCCACGCTCTCTGATAAACAGACATTTCTTAAACACAGCTGTTTCTCCAAGACTCTCTGACTTCCTGTTAGCCGTCAAACTACTATCAGAGCTGATATCTTGCAGAGAAAACAATTAAGCGTATCAAATAAAAATGTTAATATATGTATGGCAGGCGAGGCTTCAGGCTAGTTCCTCTCCGTCTGTTATCAGAGGATCTTAT